GGCAAAGAGGACGCAGGAGGAGACGGTAGAGGGACACGCTGAGGAGCAGTAGAGGGACGCAGAGTCATGTAGTGAGTGCCGGGGACAGGAGGAGGACGCTCACGACGGACACGACGACCAGTGCGAGCAGTACGGACAGGCGACGTAGGACGAGACTCAGGCTCACGACGCTCTGTAAGACCTCCTGTGGGACCAGTGTAAGGAGAGGGAGCAGGGAGAGGCGAGGCAGGCGGTAACTGTGACTGCGGCTGGACAGTCGGAGGACACTCTACGGAGGGAGGAGGACAAGGAGGAGGAGCCTGTCCAAGAACCTGCTGAAGGAGCGGTACGAAGTACGGCCGCGGCCGCGCAGCGGCTCCAGAAGCAGAAGAGACTCCAGCGTCCGAGTCCCCAGCACCAGCAGCAGCGCCACCGCTCGGGTCCTCAGCTCCAGCAGCAGCTCCACCAGGTGGGTCCGCAGCACCAGCAGCAGCACCACCCCCAGGGTCCGCAGCTACAACTCCGCTAGCGCCGCCAGCTCCAGAGTCCCCAGCTCCAGCAGCTCCAGTCGTAGTGCTCCCAGAACAGCCAGTCCCGGCAGCTCCAGTACCCCCAGCTCCAGCCGAGCCACCAGGACGGCGAAAGCGCCGGACGTACCAGTCACGAAGCTGCTGCGGTGTGAGAGACTGCTCAGCACCCCGAACCGGAGCACCCCCAGACGCAGCAACCCGAGGCTCCGTAGGCTCAGCAGCAGCACCCCCAGGCTCAGTACCCGCAGGCGCAGCACCCCCAGACTCAGCACCCCCAGACTCCGCACACGCCGGCTCAGCACCCCCAGTCGCAGCACCCCCAGGCTCAGCACCCCCAGGCGCCGAACTCCCAGGCACAGTACCCTCAGCTCCAGCACCCGTAGTCCCAGCACCCCCAGGCCCAGCACCCGCAGGCTCAGCACTCCCAGCAGCACCTGAGTCACCTGTGACCTCGACAGGCTCAGCGACGGGAGGAGGGTCTACCTGAGAGACACCTGAAGGAGCAGGACCCTGAGGGGGAAGGGGGTCTACCGGAGGGGGACCAGGAGCAAGGAAAAGCGGTGGGGGAGGGAGGGGGGCAGTACGGTAGGGGAAGAGACGGTAAAAAGGGACCGACTCGTCAAAGGTGACGTCCTGAGAGGCGAAGACCCGGCGCGAGGTGGGGTGGTAAAACTGCCAGCCCGGCGCGTCAGGGACAAAGCCAAGGAAGACACAGGGAAGCGTGCGGGAGGAGAGCTTGTCCGCGGACGTATCGCGGACAAGGGCACGAGCACCCCACACCCGGAAGCGCGACGCATCGCCAACCTCTCCCGTCCAACGCAGTGTGGGCGAGGTCTCCGGCAAGGAGACACGGGGCCAGAGGTTGAGCTGATGCGCGGCGTACCGGACAGCAAACGGCCACAGAAAATGGGGAGCCGCCGCGTGGACCAAGGAGGTACGAGCGACCTCCATGACCAGACCAATGCGGCGCTCAGCAACCCCATTCTGCTGTGGGGAGTCCGGAAGCGTGAAGGTCTGCTCGATGCCCTCCGCCTGACAGAAGGTCCTCAAGAGGTCGGAGGAAAACTCACCACCTCTGTCAGAGTGCAGACGCAGGACAGGAAGATCCGTCCGGAAACGGCGGCGGAGCTGGAGACGAACTGTGCGGATCCAAGGGATCAGAACAGCAGGGACCTTACCCTTGGTGCGCAAGGGGAAGACCGTGGTGTAACGCGAGTAGTCGTCGACAACCAGCAAAAAGTACCGCTCACCGCCCTGACCACGAACGCGGGCTGGGCCCCACACGTCCAGGTGGAGGGTCTGCAGAGGAGCCTCTGTCGGGGGGAACGAGGAGGAGTGAGGAGCGGCGCGCTGCCGCCCCTCGACGCAAGGAAGGCAAGGCGGCGCAGGCGAGGCAGGGAGGGGAGGGAGGGACCTGGGAAGACCAGACACAAGGTGGCGACGGTGCATGCCACGGAGGCGTGGCAAGGAGGGGTGACCCAGGCGGTGGTGCCAGAGAAGAGTCTGGTGCGACAGGGAACGACACTCACAGGCGTGGGCTACCAGACCTGACGCGGACACCTGACCGACAGCAGCGACCTGAGGAGACGCAGTGGTCAGTGTGTAGAGACTCGACCCCGGCCGACGAGTAAACGTAGCCAGGTGACGGCCGGTCCTGGAGCACGTGCAGATCGCCACACGCTGTCCTCCAGGGGTAAAGGTGTCAACCCACTGATCCTGGAGGACAGCGTTGCTCACCAGGTTCGTCGAGAACGAGGGGAGGTGGAAACCCGTCAACGAGCCAGACGGAACCGCCGGACAAGGGAGCACAGTGGTGGACCGGGCAAGGACCGGGCCCCCAGAGGGGTCAGCCAAGGAGACTGGGACCGGTGCAGGAAGCGGTGTGAGCTCAGTACTGTCTCGAAAGAAGCAGCGGGAAGCACCTGAGTCAAGGGTGAAGGTGTGACAGGGCTCAGCCGGTGCAGTACCTGAGAGAGCAGTCTCTGTGGGTGCTGTACCTGAGAGAGCAGACTCGCAAGTAGCAGGGACAGTGCTGGAGGGAGCAGGTACAGGGGGCACCATACCAGAGAGAGCAGACTCACTAGTACCTAGGGCAGCGGGCCCTATACCTGGGTCAGGCGGCACACACAAGTAACAGTCTCCCTCGGCACTAACAGTCAATGCATACATGGCAGCAATAATAGCATCATAGTCAAGAGCAAAGATATCAACCCCAGCCCTCATCAGCTCAGCCCAGCGAGGGCGCTCAACATCCTCGCCCATCTCCTCACGCCAAGCGTCGTCAAGGCGGAAGAAGCAGCGGTACTGAGTGTGGAACTTTCCACACGTCTGCCCCTTGCGATCACCTGTGCGAATGACATAGGAACAGCGGCCACTGCCCCCCGACGTCCCACGCTGAGCAAGCCACTCACGAAGCTGCTGGGTCGACTGGGGACGCTGCTGCTGCTGGGAGCTCTGGCCCGAGCCTGTGCCTCCACTCCGACCTCCACCGCCGCCACTACCTCCGCTCCGACCGCCACCACCGCCACCGCCACCGCCACTACCGCCACCGCCGCCACTGCCGCCGCTGCCACCACCGCCACTGCTCCCGCCGCCGCCCCCGCCTCCGCCGCCGGCCCCACTCCCACCGGCACTCCCGCCACCGCTCCCTCCAGCACCGCCTCCCCCCCCACCTCCCCCACCCCCTCCCCCCCCAGCGCCACCCCCGCCACCCTTGCCCCCCTTGCCCTTGCCGGTGCGGCGCCTCCCACCAGGAGCAGAAGCAGCGCCAGCAGTCTCAGCACCAAGGAAGTCAACAGCAGCAGCAGTAGCATAGGAGGGAGCGAGGGGAGAGGGAGAGCATCCCTCAAAGATGGGGGTGCGAGGAGCGCCGCGAGCAGCACCTACAGCTACAATGCTCTTCTCGGCTGCTAGCAGCTTCTCCTCTAGGAGGGCGACAGTGAGCTCAGTGGGACAGCGAGCAAGGAAATAGTCGCGCACTGAGCTGAGGGTGTCAGGGAGACGGGTGACTATGAAGTGGAGTGTCCAGTACAGTGGAGGGGGGTTCTTAGCGCAGAACTCAGTGGGAAGGGCGGCGCGCAGACGAGCGTCACTAGTGCGAAGGTGGGTGATAAGATCGGCGACTGTAGCAAAGGTGGACAGCTCAGGGAACAGGTAAGGCAGCATGAGGCGGCTAAGCTCAGCTGTGGCCGGTGAGGAGTAGCGAGCAACGACAGCGTCGTACAGGGCCTTAGCGGATTTGCAGTCGCCAAAGTGCTCTAGCTCAGGTAACGGCAGGTGACTGCGAATAGCCAGGCGAGCTGCAGCGTCACGAGTCTGCCACTGTGAACGTACACTAAGCTCGGCTGTGGCAGCAGGAGCAGCGGCAGCACCAGACGCGTAGTCATAGAGGGAGATGTGGTCCGTGCTATTGCTCATAAGATACAACTGCAGGTCGTCGAGCCAGGAAGTGAACTGCACGGGACGGCCCTCAGCATCGAAGGAAAGAACGCGAATAGAGGCCATAGCTCAGGCGTGAGGGCACAGCAGAGCAGCGGCAGCAGCAGGCGAGGCGGGCAGCGCTGCAGGCGGGAAGTGCGGCGGGCGGGCTGCGAAGCGGGCAGCGGGGCGGGCGGGCGACGCGGCGAGCGGGCAGCGCGGCGGGCGGCTGCGAAGCGGGCAGCGGGCGGGCGGGCGACGCTGCAAGCGGGCAGCGGGCGGGCGGGCGACGCTGCAAGCGGGCAGCGAGGCGGGAGGGCGACGCGGCGAGCGAGCAGCGGGCGGGCGGGCGACGCTGCGAGCGGGCAGCGAGCGAGCGGGCGACGCTGCGAAGCGGGCAGCGGGCGGGCGGGCAACGCTGCGAGCGGGCAGCAAGCGGGCGGGCGACGCTGCGAAGCAGGTAGCGGGCGGGCGGGCGGCGCTGCGAGCGGGCAGCGAAGCGGGCGGGCCGCGAAGCGGGCAGCGAGCGGGCGGGCGGGCTGCGAAGCGGGCAGCGGGGCGAGCGGGCTGCGAAGCGGGCAGCGGGGCGAGCGGGCGACGCTGCGAGCAGGCAGCGCGGCGGGCGAGGGGCGAGCGGGCAGCGTGGCGGACGGGCGACGCTGCGAGCGGGCGGCTCGGCGGGCGGGCGACGCTGCGAGGGGCGCGCGAGGGCGCTAGCGAGGGGCGCGCGAGGGCGCTAGCAAGGGGCGCGCGAGGGCGCTAATGAGGGGCGCGCGAGGGCGCTAACGAGGGGCGCGCGAGGGCGCTAACGAGGGGCGCGCGAGGGCGCTAACGAGGGCGCACGAGGGCGCTACGAGGCTAGGGCACGGGGTAGCGTGGTAACCGCATGCGAGCGGTGGTGGGCCCTAAAAAAAACGGTCGGTAGGTCCTAGGGACCTCCTGCTCTGAATACCATATCAGAATCACTAGGCAAGAATGAATGAACTAGGAGAAGATTGGGTACAAATATGAAACCCTAGTTGGGGTTGTACCCCATATTGGCTACCCCACTACAGCCTACCAACATATAACACATTACAATTTAACAGCAGCCGCATGGATCATGGACGTACGAGCGACGTCCATGATCATGCCGATGCGGCGCTCAGCAATCCCATTCTGCTGCGGAGAGTCCGGAAGCGTGAAGGTCTGGCGGATGCCTCGTGCGCGACAGAAGGCCCGCAGAAGGTCAGAGGAGAACTCTCCGCCTCTGTCGGAGTGCAGACGCCGAACAGGAAAGTCGGAGCCGAAACTCTCCTGGAGCTGGAGACGAGCTGCGCGGATCCAGGCGATCAACACCTCAGTGACGTCACCCTTGCTGCGCAAGGGGAAGACTGCGGTGTAACGCGAGTAGTCGTCAACCACCAGCAGGAAGTAGCGCTCCTGACCCTGCCCACGGACGCGGGCTGGGCCCCACACGTCCATGTGAAGCGTCTGCAGCGGAGCCTCTGTCGGAGGAAACTCGGAGGAGTGAGGGGCAGCGCGCTGCCGCCCCTCGACGCAGGGAACGCAGGTGGGGGCAGGCCCCGGAGGAAGAGGAGGGAGGGACCGGGGGAGGCCGGAGACAAGAAGACGGGAAGCCATGCCTCGAAGACGAGGCAGGGAGGGGTGACCAAGGCGGTGGTGCCAGAGGAGAGTCCGGTGGGACAGGAGACGACACGAGCAGGGGGCAGACTCAGGACCAGACCTGGACGCCGCAGCAAACATCTGACCCGACGCTGCGACCTGAGCAGACTCAGTGACCGGAGGAGACTCGGTAGTCAGTGTGTACAGGCTCGACCCTGGCCGACGAGCAAACGTGGCCAAGTGTCGGCCCGTGTCCGCACAAGTGCAGTGGGTCACCCGCTGACGCGCAGGGGTGAACTGGTCAACTCCTGCATCCTGGAGGTCAGCACCCGCAACCAAGTTCGTAGAGAACGAGGGGAGGTAGAGACCCGACAGGGAGCCAGACGGGACCGCCGGACACGGTAGGACAGTGGAGTAGTGAGCAAGGACAGGACCCCCAGAAGGGTCTGCCAGTGAGACCGCAACAGGCCGACTGAGCGGTGTGAGAGTGGTGCAGTCTCGAAAGAAGGAGCGGGAAGCACCCGAGTCAAGGGTGAAGGTGTGGGTGTCCGGTGACGACGCAGCACCTGAGAGCGCAAACTCACCGGCACCTGGGGCGGCAGACGCACTGGCACCTAGAGCAGCAGCCTCACAAGCACCTAGCGCAGCAGCCTCTATGCCTGGGTCAGGCGGGAAACACCGGTAACAGTCACCCTCATCACTAATAGTCACAGCATACATGGCAGCAAGAATAGCATCAAAATCAAGATCATAGATCGCAACACCCGCCCTAGACAGCTCGCCCCAGCGAGGGATCTCAGTAGCGTCGGGGAACTGGTGGCGCCACGCGTCCGTCAGACGACCGAAGCAGCGCTGGGTGGGGTGCGCGCCCCCACACTGCTCACCCGCCCGGTCGCCGGTACGGAGAACGTAGGTACAGGGGCCAGCACCCCCGCCCCGCTGACGAGCAGCGTACCACTCACGAAGCTGCTGGGGGGAAGGGGTCTCACGGGTACGCTGCTGCTGCTGCTGCTGGCGCGCACCACCACCGGAGCCACCCCTCTGCGCAGCGCCACCCCGACCAAGACCACCGCCTCCGCCGCTACCACCTCCAGGACCGCCACCTCCGCCACCTCCGCTCCCACCGCTAGCGCCGCCTCCACCTCCACCTCCAGTCCCGCCACCGACGCCCCCACCCCCGCCACCACCCCCACCGCCACCCCCACCCCCTCCACCACCTCCACCTCCGCCTCCACCGCCCCCTCCAGCTCCTCCAGCACCCTTGCCCCCCTTGCCCTTGCCAGGGCGGCGTCTCCCGCTAGGGGCAGACGCCGCAGCGACCGACTCAAGACCAACGAGGTCGGCCGCAGCAGCAGAGGCAACAGAGGGCAGGAGGGGAGAGGGGGAGCACCCCTCAAAGACAGGGGTACGAGGGTCACCACGAGAGGCACCTACTGCGACTATGCTCTTCTCTGCCGCTAGAAGGCGCTCCTCGAGGAGGTCAACGGTGAGGGTGGTGGGGCAAACAGAGAGGAAGTGGTCCCTGACCGGGCGAAGGGTGTCAGGGAGCCGGGTGACTATGTAGTAGAGGGTGATGTACATGGGGGGGGGGTTCTTGGCGCAGAACTCAGCAGGAAGCGCAGCGCGGTAGCGAGTGTCACTAGTGCGAAGGTGCGTAATGAGGTCAGCGACAGTGGGAAAAGCGGCGAGGTCAGGGAAGAGGTACGGTAGGATGAGGCGGCTAAGCGCAGCAGTGGCAGGGGAAGAGTAGCGAGCAACTACAGCGTCGTACAAGGTCTTAGCACTCTTGTACTGGCTAAAGTGCGCACGCTCAGCGGTCGGCAAGTGGCGGCGCACAGCAAGGCGGGCAGCAGCATCGCGCGTGGCCCACTGAGAGCAAACAATGGGGTCAGCATCAGCAGCAGGGGCAGGAGAGGCACCAGAAGTGAGGTCAAAGAGGGAGAGGCCGTCTGCTCTGTCGCTCAGTAGGAAAAGCTGCAGGTCATCTACCCAGACGTCAAAGTCAATGGCCCGACCCTCAGCGTCAAAGGTGAGGACACTGGGGGAAGCCATGACAGCAGTAGACTAGCAGTGAGAGCAGCAGGCAAGGGCAGAGCAGTGGCGGAGGCGCTGCTCTTACCGGGCAGGCGAGAAGGACCGAGGCGCGCCGGCGGGAACAGGGCCACGACGGCAGGAACGGCGGCTCGGCGGCTCAGCAGCTCGGCAGCTCCGCAGCAGTGGCGTCTCGGCGGCTCGGCAGCACGGCGGCAGTGGCGGCTCGGCGGCTCGGCAGCTCGGTGGCAACGGCGGCTCGGCGGCGTCGGCGTCTCGGCGGCTCGGCTGCTCGGCGGGGCCGCGAGGGTGTGGCGACGGGGCCGCGAAGGGCGGCGGGGTCGCACGGGTGTGGCGACGGGGTCGCAGGCAGCTGCGACGCCAGGGGTCGCTGGCGGCTGCGACGGAGCCGCGGGCGGCCACGGTGACGGGATCGCAGGCGGCCGCGGGGGGCAGGGTCGCGGGCGGCTGCGACAGCAGGGTCGCGGGCGGCTGTAGCGACGGGGTCGCGGGCGGCTGCGGCGAAGGGGTCGCGGGCGGCTGCTGCGACGAGGTCGCGGGCGGCGCGAAGGGCGACAGGGCCGCTACGGGCGGCGGTGGGGTCGCGGGCGGCTGCGACGAAGCCGCGAGGGGCGATGACGAGGTCGCGAGGGTGGGGCCGCGGGGTCGCGAGGGTAGGGCGACGGGGCCAGTTGAGGCGGCGCCGGGGCCGCTAGGGCGACGCGACGGGGCCGCAAGGGCGGCGCGACGGGGCCGCTAAGGGCAGCTAGAGGGGAGCGCGACTCGGGCAGGGGCTGAGGGCGCTCCGGGCAGGAAAGAAAAGGTCGGTGGGCCCTAGGAACAGTTCCCACGAGGGAACCTGCTCTGTTACCATGTGAAAAGTTAGAACGAGAATGTTGCATTGAGTAGCATGAGGAGTACATGTATCAAACCCTAGAATGTTGTACCCCATATGAGCTACCCCACTACAGCCTACACAGAGTATAGTGTATAAGTGTGACACCATTTGCCACGGAGAATCTTTCTCCTCTTTGCAGATGATCAGGGGACGGGCTTCCAAGTCCCATTGCGCTTTGGTGCTGCTACTTCTGCTGCCATGGCTGCCTTCTATTTCTCGCTGTCCGGCCCGGAGAAGGCTTAGCGTACAGTGGTGGGCTTCTTGGGTGGGGTGTGGCGAACTACGACGGCGAGATCGAGGATGCGGATGCCAATTTTGTTGGTCTTTTTGTAGGCGAGGCGATCGTGGCCGTGATAGCTGGTTACTTCGACAACGTCGTCGTTGTTGTCGTGGCCAGTGCGGATGATGTCTTGCGAAGGGTACGGTGGTGGTAACTCAGCATCCGGGGATAGTAAAGAAGCGGAGTCAGATTGCGCTTGTAAGGAAGATGTTGACAGCGGAGTCAAATTGCGTGACGTTCTTTGCGTCCTCTGCCAGGTCTGTCTCATCCTATAACGTGGCGATGCTGCGGTGCCCCTCGAAAACCCTCTCTGGTGCCTTGTCAGCTTCGCGGTGTTCCTTGAACAGTGGCAAGGCCATCTTCTCGTAGAAGATGCAGTCACGTGATTTTGTCACTTCGTGTGTCGCGTAGTCCAGCACGATCCACGCCTTGTAGTCCATAAAACTTTTCGGTTCTTGATGTGTGTGGCCTGTACTGTACCATGCAGTTGAAGACCCGAAAAAGACGAGTGTCAGCTTTTCTGCCCGTCCAAGCTTTGTAGGGCGAGTTGTTGTTCTCGAGGCTTCGGGAGGAGAGCATGTTGTGCAGCCGAACTGCGTGGTTCATCGCAAATGGCCAAAACTTTGTTGGGTTGGCCGACTGCTTCATCAGCGCCCTCAACCTGGTGTTGACGCTCCAATTTGTCCGTTCTGCTACTCCTTGTTGCTCGTGAGCGTAGGGCAGGGACACCGGTGTCAAACATTATATCTGTTGTTGTTGTTTAGGCTACAGTGGGTTAGCCTTTAGGGGGTACACAAATTCTAGGGTTGCATATTTGTACTCACATTCTTGCTAGTCATTCTCATTCCTGCCAGTTAGTTTTAACAACCGGATGCTCCGAAGAGTTCATTAAATTCAGTTGAGAAGAACTCTGCACCCCCATCTGTCTGGAATCTTTTTAGCTTCCTTCCTGACTGGCGCTAAGCGCGTTTCATTCCAGTTACAAAGCTGTCAAAAGCTAAAGAATGAAGGTCGATGTTGATGAGCTAGACAAAGCGTGTGCATGCGACGATGAAGGTCATCATGTACAGTTCGCTTTTACGTCCTTCTTGGCTAAGAATCATGAAGTCGATGTACACCTTTTCAAGTGGTTTGTAACGTTCATAGCCAGGAAGTAAGTTGGGAAAGAGCTTGTGAGCGAGTGACGCGGTTGAACAAACGAGGCACGGTGGGTCATCTGAAATTGCCGTGAGTACGCCACCTCTGGGGAGAAGCAGTGCTTCCGAGTCAAAGGCTCCAGCTTCAATTGAATTTTTGAGTGTGGCGTGTGAGGGATGTCCGAGTCGCTGATGCCAGATTTCTAATTCTGCGTGGCGACCGTCCGTCATTCGATAGTAATTGTTTCTCCCTAATTCGCTGCTCCGTATTAGGTCCTTTGCCGGTGGCGGCGCTCGCATGTGCTGCGAAGGCTCGAGCAGAGACTCGCTCCAAGACGGCGTCGGAAATTCCGGTGATGTCGTCCGTGACGGCAGTGTGAACCGGGTCACCAATGACGAGTGGTCGCGGGAGTCGTGCCGCCTCAAGCCCTTCGGAAGCTGGAAGTCCCTCCATTGGGACGCGATAATAGAGGTATTCGTCATCGGCGGCCGTGGTCAGCTGAGGTCCTTGTTCCGGTGGCAGTGCTTCTTCGGTAGGGTCGAGTAATTCTGTGGCTCCCACAAATTCGTAAGTCAACTCTTTTGACTCTTCTTGTGCTTATACTGCAGATCCGGGAGCGCACAGGTATGGGAGAGGAGGTCCGCCCAGCTGGTGTCGCACGTTGCCCAGTACGGATCAATTCCTGCCACGTCTGCAGGGAGGAGTGCTGGAGCCTTGGGATAAGGAGGGCTTGGAGGTCCCCACCCGCTTCTGGAAGTCGTCGTTCCCCAACCGCCTCCAGGGGCAACTCCTTCCTCTGGTGTTTAAATGATTCCCCATGCGCCGACGGTAGTGCTGGGATTGGCCTATCTGGGTGAGACTGGTCCTGTTACTCTCCATCGTCCAGTGTAAGCTTCTCTAATAATTGCTGGCTTTTCACTGTCTTCCCCTTGTTCCATCGTTGCAGGTCCGGTGTCTTCGGGAGTGGAGGTTGAGGCAGTTGGAACACTGCACAAGCGAAGACTTCCTTCTGATGCGGGGCGCTCAAGGTCCACCTCCTTAGGGTGCGACCAGTTTGGTGGTTCAGTTGGTGTTCGGTTGGAGTCGCCTGTGGTACCCTGAGCTGAGAATTTTAGGACGAAGTCTCCGTCGTCGTCTACTTCCTTGTCGATGTAAGTGTTTTTTGTAAAAAAAAAATAAAGGTTCTGTCTTCGTAGTGCGAATGTCGACTCTGCACTTCATCAATTGAGCTGCAAAGAGGGTTGAATTGAAGATCGGCGATGACGAGCACATCACCGATGTGAATGGTGAAGTTGGTGTCACCTGACTGCAAGCAAGTTCCCCAATATCGTAAGCCTGCAATCGGTTGTTGTTTGCGACAATAATCTCGCGTGGTCGTCACATCTCCTTTGAGTTACTAATGGAAGTTGGTGATCCTGCCATGTCTTGTCCGCAACAGCTGTCAAGCTACCAAGTATTGAAGTTGTCGCGGCTTTGGCGCGCGATGCCGGCGATCTTTGGAGTGATGATGTGGTCAATGTCGATGAAGTAAGGCGAGAGATCACGCTCATGCCTTGCGGGGAAGCTGGGGGGGGGACTGGAGGCAACTCGAAGTCAGGTGGGATGCTGGTTGGTCAATCGATCCAAGCAATAACTATGGGTCGTTGTCAGGGCTTGGTGTGATAAGAGTGATTGGCGCAGTTGGTGCGAATTCAATGTCGTCGTAGTAGCGAATCCCTCTGCGATGATGCACCATGCAGGTTAAAACTGAACCCTTCCCCTTGTCCTTGGACGAAATCCGGGCAGGAACCTGGGAGGTTCTTGCAACGGAGGGCGGCGACACTGTCGTTCTCGCGGCTGGAGTGGAGATGGCGCCGAATTTTGCTGAGTGTTGTTATTCATCTCGTCAGCAGCCTTCCGCTTGTAGCACCGGTCTATGGTATGACCTAGTTTCTTGCAGTACTTACAGAAGGTCCCTTTCTTTCCGTGCTGCTCCCCTTTAGTCGCTTCGGTGTAGATTACTAACTTCTCTTGCTTGCTGTTCTTCTCATTGTATGGGGCGATCTTTGTGGCACAAAGGGCGGACTCGAAAATGGTTGCTCGCGCGTGGAGCAACGACTAGCATTAGCGCCAATCGGGTCCTAGTCCAGAGAGAACCGAGACGAACATGTCGTCAGGAACGGTTCCATCGCACTTCTTGATGTGATCGCGCAGGTTCTGACACTGATTAATATACGGTCCCGCTTTCTCCTCTTGTTGCATTTTTTAATGATGTCAGCTGAGTGAGCAGACGAATCATGGTAACTGGATCTATTGCTATGTATGAATTGCGCAAGTGCTCCCAAGAAATTGCGCAGAAGCGCACTCCGATTTGTAGCAGTGAATACCAAGCTGTTCAGTGGGAGAGAAATTTCAGAGAAGAGCGGTGTCCGCGTGAAGGGGCTCGTGGTAGTACTGATTTTACTTATGGATGGTTCCTTCTGACGGAAAAGGTGAGCTCCCATCGTAGTACGTCTAAATCTGCGCGGTTGTTGCGAGGACTTTTGTCCTTGCGGTAAAAAAGAGTTGAAGTTTTCAGCTTTGAGGTCAAGACGAAGTTTGTTTGCATAGTTGCGATTGCCTCTGATTGTACGCGTTGTTGACTGTCGTGCGTAGGAGGTGAAGATTGACGATTAATTGATCTCTCTGAGTTGATGCAGCAGTATTCTCCAGGAGAGGAAGTCCAGCAATTCCTCTGGCGTAGCTTGAGCCGTCAATGCTCATGGCTTGATGGTCAACGAGAGCGGCGCTGACGGAAGTCACCGCTGATGGCACATTAGTAGTTGCTGGTGGTGGGCCTGGAGAGTCCGTAGTGGCTTTCCCTTCAAGAGGCATAGTGGTGAAGACTTGTAATAAGTATTTTAATGAATGAGTTTATAAGGAGTCCGTTCTAGGAAGAACAGGAACTTAGCAGATCTTATAATCCACTCTAGCTCTCATACCATGTTGATAACGGTTGAAAGAGAACAAGATGTTTTTAAGTTAAGAGTACAAGAGTATAAATAGCCATGTACTCTGAGGGGTACATTCCCTTATTAACTGTATTGCATAACTACAGTAATTATGACTATTGCCATCTTGTCATTTACCATGTTGCATCGCGTAACCTCCTGTTGTACATGCCACCCTTTTACCGCGGCTTCTGCAAGAAGCACCCGACCTGAGGTGAGCTTGCCCAGAGGGGCAAATACCTGTTCAAAATCCTTCTCGGGCTCCTAAGTGTACTCTTTAACAACAAGGCGAACCTTGTGCTGTACCACCTTATCCTCGTCATTTTGTGCTGTACCACCTTAAACCTCGTCATCCTCGTCAACAAGGCGAACCTTGTGCTGTACCACCTTAAACCTTGTGCGGAAAATGTACTTGACCCTAATGGCCTTCTTACATGGAGGTAAGTTGACCAGCTCTGGATCCGATACACCAATGGTGCGCATGACATTCACCTCCTTCTAACACCCTCAGGGACGCGCAGTGCCTCAGCGAGCGTGCGTGGGACATCATTGGTGCTCACACCCGCTAGTGTAACACCTTTCACCTCCCTGGCCAATCACATCATGCCTTCCGCAGCACCAGCCTCCCCCCTACCTCCGCACTACCTGTACCAGAATGGATACCAAGC